CCGTAATTCTTAGCCCCAAAGCACCCTACATATAGTAAGACCTTTGTTGATCCCTTGAACAGGTGGCCAAGACATATATGGGTACCCATTGAGACCTAGCCACATTCCAACCCTTTCATAGCTAGGAACCCCACCTGAGCCTTAACCTACCTATAGAAAACTAGGTCAAATTTATCAAACCTTTTAAGGTGGTGTTTTGCCTAGCCTACTTTAGTTTAGGTCTGTCAAGAGTAATGTTCAAGGATTAAACGGAGGTGAGGTCTGACCCCATGACTTCAGGCCAACCTAGGTCTAGGACACTAGGTCGGCAGCCTGAGAGGATCCACCAAGGCGCTCCTCCTACCCAAGGTACCCATGTGGGTGAATCTAGTCTCAACCCATAAGGAACCATACCTAGCAATCCAGGCTACAAGCTAGTAGTCCTCATGACTGTCGTTAAGAACCGTGGACCTCCAAGTTGCACCCTGAATAGTCAAGGAATTAGACCAGGGGTAATCCACCAAGACATGGGTGTGAGTCTTAATTCCCGTTAGTGTGACCAAGGTAGGCCAAATGTCCAAACCCTTCCAAGTCTATGGTCAGTGCACCATAGCTAGGTTAACCTTAGTGATCAGTTACCACCCAAGAATTTTGGCCCAAACAAACAACCAATTAAGGGAGAGTGGTCCAAGGCTCACATAGGCTTGAGGTGCCCAGTCATGTTTCTAGTCACCATGGCATTGCTAGGGGCAACCCATTTACTCAACCTAACACCAATAGGAGTCAGCGTCCTGACCATAGTCAGCTCCAGGCAAACCCTCAGGTGTCCTGCAAGGCCTAGTGAACAAGGGATATACCATTCAACCACCTAGTCAGCATAGGCAAGGTAGGATAGAAGTTCAACCCCTTAATTCACCTGTAGCCAACTGGCCCAAACCAAGTTAACCCTATTAGTTAACAATTTGCTAGACAAGCAAACCAAATAACCACTTAGTAGGAATAGGCCACCTAGCTAGGGGTCTGGTTATGGCCATCGACGTTTGATAGTAATCATGGACTTCATGCCCTCTTTGGGTCAAATACTAAATAAAGAGGCGATTCCAACTCTAGAAGTAGACCACCTTGTCTATGACAGGAGCATCTAGGCCCAGTTAACCAAGGTCAAAGGTCTAGCCACCGTAGTAACCCAGGGGGTCCTTCCCAATTTCCCATAAGTGAACACTTAGTTTTGCACGTCTTCTTGCGAAACTGGAAAAGTTAGGGTAAGCCCAATGAGGCAACAACAAGATAGCCCAAGGGGTTTCATATGTCAACAATCATCCTAACTAGTCCAATCGGTTCCCCAAGCTCAATCAACAATTCATATACCCAAACACAAGCTCAATAGTCCATCTTAAGCAACCAATCGTCCAGAGAAGTTGTCCTAGTGCCAATGCTCAGTTAGCCAATATGTAGGCGACCATGCAACACCTTCAAGACTCTTTAGAGAATGGGAATATGCGATTTCTCAGCTCCTAAAGCATATGTACAAGAAACCCTTGAAAATCTCTAAGATTTACCAATGGGATTCATTATGCCACCATTTCGAAAGTTCTCCAGAAAGGGTGACCTAGAAGCACATATCAACGCTTGCCTGCTTTCAGTGCCAACCCACTGTGACCGGCCCAATCAATTAAAGGCGATGTTCTCACATAGCCTATCAGGAATACCCTTCATATGGCATCGACAATTCATGAAGGATAACTCCAATGCGACTCCGGACGAGATGTTTTAAAAGTTTGAGTCTCATTACTGGGGCAGCAAACCCCAACCCGTCTCACTAGGGGAGCTTACCTCAAAGGGGCGAAAGGATGACGAATTGTGCCCTGACTTTGTTGAGCTATTTAGGTTTGTCGCTTCTCGGGTTCTCGAGTGCACTCCCTTCAATACACACTAATTGCTATCCTCCTAGAAAATGTTACGCCCGAATACATGTCCTTAGCAAAAGCAACATGCCCTTCTCTTTCGACTCCATGCTCGAGATGGTAGCGCACTATGAGAGGGCGAAGGACAAAGCTAGTTTCCCTCAGGAATCAACCACTAGCTACACCTTAACAGGAGATGATCAAGATGAAGCTTCACTCGGTGGAGAAGTTAAAGAAGTCATAACCAATGAGTCGAAGGTCCGACCTCTCCTTCTAAAATTCTTAGGTACATAGATAAACCGCATTTCTATACATGGCAGATGCAAAGAGGTATGACCAAGGAATTTAGTCGCATTAAGGAATCAATGAGTGATGTTCTCAAGCCATAACTCGACAATAAACTTGTGGAGTAGCCTATAGCTTAGATTTCTCTCTTGCCCCATTGGGGATAAATCGAAGTGGTGCAAATGGCATCGAAGCCGTGCCCATTACATTGAGGAATGCCTTACTCTTAGGAATATTGTTAAATATTTAATTGATAAAGGAATCATAACAATCACGAGGCAGACCAAAGGGAATGACAAGCCTACTTCTGGGCCAATTTCCACTCTTAATAAAAGGGGTATATTTTCCATCTTAAATCCGGATGGTATCACTGGCACAAATAAAGACGAGGAGATATCTTCAACCTCCCAAACAACCGCCGAGGTCGACCTAATAAATATGAATGAGTCTAGAACTCGGTCTAAATGTAAAGATCATCCAACATGGCCTTGTGGCAAGGGACAAGACTAGCCTGAGAACCCGTTAAATAAAGAGCAAGACAATCATAATCTCACCTAGGACTCTGTGGTAAGAATCATCAAATCACAACGATGAGGATAGCCTTAGCCTAGGTTCCATGACTTAATAAAGGGCGAAAGAACAAGTACCTTAAGAAAGATTCCGATAGTAGTTGAAGATGCAGGCCCAAAAAGGATCCAAGATATCCCTATAATGCATGTTAGAGTATGGACAAAAGATCTGTTTAATCTTTCAAATAAATGGAATAGACAACCCATACAGGTGGTACAATGCACACAAGCCAAAGGACATAAGCACATCTCCCTTTCGGGTTGACTCGGAGGATGATAGCATAAAGGATTTAACTTCGAGTATTCTCCCAAGTTTGGACTCAGATTCCCCACCTCTTCAAGAGCAAGAGGAAAACCCCCTAGAAATCGTAAGGGTACCGCCTGCCCCATTATGACATGATTTTGTAGAGAACCCACCTAGGTGGGGTGATGAACCGAATCTAGAAGATCCAGTCAAGCTACCTCTCTGGAGAGCCCAATGGATGACCCCCACTTAACTGGGGCAAAGAAATGGGAAAAGGTAAATCTCTGGAATTTAATTGGGGCAAGGGCATGACTCTAATAAGTAAGGCATCCCAACAATAAGAAGACCCATTTGATGAGACACAAGCTCCCACTAGTGAAGGACATAACTCAATAGAGGTCACCCTATCTAACTAATCAATAGGGGCACCCTTATTGGATGATGACATTATAGCAAGGACAATTGATAAGGTTGAGGCTCTATCCGATGACTCTCAATATGCCATGGCACGGAAATAACGGTATGGAATCAACTCCTTAAGGTCAACTTGAGATCTTGAGTAAATAGGATTATTGAAAAGGAGTATGTCGATCACGCCTTTTAATAGCCAAGTGAGGCATTCACGCATCGCTTAGATACCATATTTTGGGACATTAATGCCCATGGAATCACTAGCCTACAGCTACATATAGGCCCAACGACCTTGATTGAATCTGGGCTGTTGGACCTATGATTAGTTGTAAGCTAGTGGGCCTATTCGTATTTGAATTTTAATTTTTTTCTACAAATCCAAATCATGTGAAATTTTAGGAGTCTATTCTTCTCATCAATGTGCACCTAATACAAATATTTAAAAAATACTTCACAAAGTTTAAATTGATCAAAATACCCTTGAAAAGTTTAGGGGTATTTTGGTCAAATTATTTTTCACAAATATTTTTTTGATATTTCTATTGGATTCTCCTATTTTTACAGAACACAAGCCCAAAATTTCAAGTGATTTGGATTTATATATAAAAAAAAAAATTCAAATTCAAATACGAAATACAATCGTGAACATTGGATCAGCCCAGATTGAATCTGGGACGTTGGGCTCATATTTAGCTGTAGGCTAGTGGGCCTACATCAGCATTTCTATATATATATATATATATATATATATTCAATTTCTGTAGAAGCAATCTGAGCTTCTCAATCAATATAGATGATAATTTGGAAGGCCAATCAGGCGAACCATTCAATAATTAGTCTTTGCATGTGTAGACAGTCAAATTTCGACAACATCTAGAATAGAACCTTTCAGTGGCTAATAGCATTAGGTACACATCCATAATTTCTATCCTCCCTGATGTCTAGAAGAAGCAAGAAAATCTGATAGAGATGGATAAGAGTCAAAGAGTGAAGGACTTGCAGTTTATTGACCTTCATTGAACTCAATGAGATGACAATTTCACATACGAAATCAAGTATGAAGAATAATTATAAAGGATGCTCACATTATAACAGGAGGTTGATGAGACGCTATCTAGATGTGGCTAGCAAAAATTAAAGTTCCTTATTGCACAATAAGGGAACTAGGAAATTCTTTCGACCAAATTGTTACAATTTTATTTCTTAATTCTATCAACAGATGAAAATTGACCAACAGAAACTACCCCAGCCATGTTTCAAAGCAACCCAATATAAAATTCCACAAAGAAACTACTTTATCAATAAGACTTCTGCACTCATCAGAGCATCAAGCTCAGAATATGAGACTCACTGACAGAAAAAGTTGGGAAATTTGTAAAATAATCCATCACTTTGAAAAAAGATGCAAGATCTACAGCAGATGATGTGTTACCCATACTAAAGATGATCATTGTGATCTCGAAAAAGACAATTTAAATAGCTCAAACCTAAATGTTATACACAGGATGAAGATTGTATACTTCATATGCCACATTGCTGAATTAATCAAGTAAATGATATGTTAACTCCTAGCAATAAAATTCCATGAGAAACTGAAATGGGATCTACCTTTATAACAACAGATGTGACCCCTTTATCCACACAAAAATATGTTCCGGAGCGGCGTGCATATTGTTCTGAAAATTTTCTCATAATCTCAACAGATTTTTCTGAAGGTTCCACTGCAGAATCATTGGAAATATAGTTTAAAAGATCATAACATGAAGCAGAAACAGCAGTGACACACCATAGTTCTATAATTGAAAACTTGCAATTATTTTACCACTATAACACAGAAACAACAACAACAGGCTATTGTTAAGTTTTCTTTTTATAGAGCACAAAATGAGATATTCACTTGATTCTCAGCATGAAAGCGTCCAGAGAGAATTCTCCATATGCAACTCCAGGGACTGAAACCAATCTGCTGCACAAATATCATGTAGCCAACTGTATTCTGTCATATAAGGAGTACAAATTGCTTATACCACGGCAGTTTTTTGGTACATATTTGTAACAGAGCTCTTAGGAATATTGAAACCATTGCTATCAAACGTATGAACAGACCAATCAAATACCGACACAAGAAGATTTCAGTCTTCTTACAACCTGCGACTATAAAAACATTCCCACCATTTACGATATGAGAACAATGAAGTGATGAGCAGTGAACTGTTACCCATGCCCAAACCCATCAAAGTTCCTCCAACATCGCAAAACTATCAATTCCTGCATGTACTGCTAATTCTATATTTATGTAGGTTTCTTACTTCAATTTTTTTCTCTTGATATTTCAATGTTATATTGTATATCTATAGATGAAAGATCCTATCCTTGCTAGAAAGCAAGTGGCAAGAGTGAGTTACCTTGATATGAATGTACATATCTTGCACTTGCACTGCATTATTTAATATGAAAGTTCATTTTTTACTACATAATCTACTAATAAAATGAAACAATCGATTATCATACTACCAAAATCAACTCCCATTGAGTATACAAAATGAATTTTATGCTACTCAATGTATGATTATCCAAAAAATGTTTCCTATATAATGTCCAAAAAATGTTTCCTACATAACAAGTGATGCCTTGGGGCAGTGGGGTATCAATGTCTTTCTACTTAGGGATAGTATGGCTAGTGCAACAGACCAAAGTCCACAGACCTCAAATGAGACGGACAAGGATGACGATAGGGTCTGGTTGTCGCTGTGGTCACAACCTTAGTAGCCATGGTAATTGTATAGAGTGATTTACCTGCTATTATTATTATTATTTGCCAGCTCTTCAGGATTTGCATGCTTGTAATGACTCCGTTTAGAACCCACAAGCTACTGAATCTGGTACCCATCCTGTGTGGAAGAAGGCCAAGGGGAAAGACGTTGACACCTTTGAAAGAATAAGAGTTGGTATATCGTATAACTACCAAAGGCAAGCATACAATTTGAACTAGATGAATCTGTCAAAATGTACAAAGCATGGCTAGTGACATACTCAAATGTGTAGCGTAGACAATATGGAGATACTGAATCCTCAGAGAGTGAGCTTGTCCCTTGCAGCTAACAGATAGTGGCCCTCGTGTCAAGAATTCATTTCTCCATGTTAACCTAGAGGAGGAAGTGTACATGGATTCGTTACTAGGTTTTTGACCCAAGGGAAGCTTGAGATGGTGTGGAAACTAAAGAAGTCAATCTATATGGATTGAAGCAATCGCCAAGGCCATGGTTAGAAAAGTTCAGTAGTCATGACTTCTGGATCCAAGTGGCATACGAGTGATTATAAGATGTCTATTGAGGGGTGGGTGACGAATGAATTTCTAGTGTACATAAATGATATTGTGCTTGCAAGAGATAAGACATAGTAAGATATTATATACTTTCATCTTAATACTCAAAAGAACTAGGGGATACTTTCTTGAGATGGAGCATATGAAGTCCAGTAATATTATTTTTTCATTTCTCAGAGAAATATATTCCTTAGATCCTCAAAAGGAAACTGAAAAAGCAATAGCCAATCCAATCACTTCCAATTGATGAAAGAGAAACTGCCAAGGGCATTGGTAGACGCAACAACCCTACACCACCTACACAGAGAGGTGGTCAGCCCATTCCTGCATGCACCACGGACGAGTCACATGAGAACTGTTGGTTAGATTTTGACTTGAGGTCCAAGCCAAGCACGGGTATTCTAATGTAGCATAAAGGATATCTCATTCTATTAAGCTACTCATAGGCAAATTAGGTTTCATCACCAGATGATACATGGTCAACTTTGGGACACTATGACTTTCTCGGTGGAAGCTTAGGTCCATGAAAACACCAAGAAAAGTAGTGAGCCTTTGCAAGATAATGTAGGGGGCAGATTATAGAGGAATAGCTGCACTGCATTTTGAATGGCCTCTGTGAAGGGATTGTGGTACTGCATTTGTATGCCATTCTAAGATTGTGTAAGGATATTTTTCTCTATTGTGAGCTGTTATTTTATATACATCCCTAATTTGACAGGAAAGATATCAATAAATTCCACTTGTTGCCCTCTCTTCCTTTTCTCCATTCAACAATTTCCTCCATCACATAATATTTCGATAGGTCAAGGGATCACGTGCTCACTTGCTGTATGAATATTTAAATTGCAATATTTCAAGGAATCACATTATTCACCATCCAGTCTTATTGTACAATATAAAATCAAACACTCACCACTTTTTAGAAACATTGGTTTTGTTTCATAGTTTTCAAGATACTTACAACAATAAGTATATACCAATTTTATTTGTTGTTAATTTATAATGTAAAAATGATGATTTATCATTGGGTTAGAAGAAACAAAAACATATTTTTTAGGAGAGATTTAGAAATAAGTGGGTACATGAGAGTGTGAACGTTTGAGGAAAATTGGAGGGAAAATGAGTTGCTAGAAAGGACTTTAAAAGTCACTTCCCGACTTATTCTCCCATGGCCATATAATGCATGTGTGCATGTGATGTGTGTTTGTGAGACACATTTTGGTGGGGACATTGTAGCATGTCTGACATGCTTCTTGGTGTTTTGCACAACCCATCATCCCTTTGATTATATCCAGTGACAACCAACATGTTAATTTCAAAGAACATGAACATGGTAATGTATGACATGACAAATCCTGGGTATTCTGTGTGGTTCTTTATTTTGGGGATGCAAGAGTTTTGAACCAACAGAAATGATATCCAAATGAAGGGTTTTAACCAGTGAGCTATAGCAAGGTGTTCTAATTTCAAGCCAATAGCATCCTCGATTTCAATTTGGTGTTGACAGGGATTAGAAACTGAAATTTTATAATTTGGACCAAGTCTCAAAATATCACTAAATGTTTCTACAGTAAATTGATAGATGACTAACTTTCAAAATTTTCTCAAAATTAAGATGGAAATCCCTGTAGATCTTGCTGAAATTAAGGAGTCTTCAAAAAAAAAAAATTTAAAAAAGAACCCACTACACAGTTTTGTGCGAAGTATTTAATTCCAGATTTCAAAAGAAATAAGCCAGAAACTAATTCTTTCTGAACTTGCTAAAAATTAGGATGGAAATCCCTCTACATTTCATTGAATTTCAGGTTGAGTTCTTATAATTTAAATTGAGAAAAGGAATCCACTACACAGTTTGTTATGAAGTGTTTAAATCTAGATTTCAACAGAAATACGCCAGGACTTGATTCTGGAATCAGCCGAACTGATTATGAAATCAATCAAAGTGGGTATCACTTTTGAACTTTAGACATCAAAGAAGGTCCATGCGGATGCATTCAAACTTTAGATGTCAAAGGGTAACCTCCCTGTCAATTTCAAACAGGGGTCAACATTCACAAAGATTAGCTTGGGTTGGTCCCTGGAAAGAGATTATATAACATAAATATTTCATTTAGAAATGGTCATATCAATATTCCAGGTCTTAAATATTTTTATAAAATGGCTCTCAAAGGCTTAGAGCGAAGGGAAAAGACCTCCACATAGTCTTTATTGATCTAGAGAAAGCTTATGATAGAGTACCTTGAGAATTGATTCAGCAGGTGTTGGAAAAGAAAGGTGTTTCCGGACACTACATCGACTTGGTGAGAGATATGTACGATGGAGTACTAACTAGTGTACGAGCAACTAGTGGACAGATGAGTGAGTTTTTAGTGATAATAGGCGTACATCAAGGGTCAACAATGAGCCCATACCTCTTTGTCTTAGTTATGGACGACTTAACTAGACACTTACAGGAAGAGGTACCGTGGTGCATGTTGTTCGCAGATGATAGTTTTGATTGATGAGACCCGAAATGACGTCAACACAAAGTTAGAACTTTGGAGGGATGCTCTAGAATCCAAAGGTCTTAAAATTAGTCGGACTAATACAGAGTATATGGAGTGCAAGGTTAGTAATAATAGGAGTAGAGACGAGGAAGTAGTCAAGATTGACAGTCAGCAAGTACAAAAAAGACCGCACTTTCCATATCTTGGGTCGATAATCCAGGAAAATGCAGAGATCGAGGAAGACGTCGCACATAGAATTAGAGTTGGGTGGACGAAGTGAAGATGTGCAACTAGAATTTTATGAGATCGCCGCATACCAATGAGGTTGAAGGACAAGTTCTACAGGACAACGGTGAGACCAGCTTTGCTCTATGGGGGGAAATGTTGGACTGACAAAAAGAATGAGTGTAGCGGAGATGAGGATGTTGAGATTGATGAGTGGAAAAACAAGAAGGGATAGAATTCAAAATGAATCTATTCGAGAGAATTTAAGTGTGGCACCAATAGCCGATAAAATGAGAGAGTAGATTAGGTGGGCTGCCCATGTGTGGTGCCAACCAAGTACAACACCTGTAAGGAGATGCAACTTAGCTCAAGTGGAAGAACTGAAAAGGGCAAGGGGTAGGCTCAAAAAGACGTGGTTGGAAGTAGTCCGAAAAGATATGGAGACTTATGGCCCCATTGAGGATATGGCCTATAATAGAGTAGAATGGAAAATCAGGATTCATAGAGCCAACCCCAATTAATTGAGAAAAGGCTAAAATGATGATGATGATGATGATGGCTCTCAAATGCTTGTGGTTCACAAAGTCTCTAGATCCTCTCAAAAAATTATATATTACACAGGATGCCACCATATGCAAGATGGATAATATGAACTCTGAAGTTGATACGTTCCAAAAAGATGCCA